TCACTGATTTGCTTAGCACCTCACCATTGCTGAGGCAGGAGAATGAGGCTGGCCTCAACAACTTAGGTTGGCTTTGAATCTGTGATCCTCCTGTCTCAGCCTCTGAACCACTGGAATTACAGGCGTGCACCACTGTGCCTGGCTTATATTAGAGTTTTAATGTTATTCTGTCAAAAGTTTTAAAGCATTTCCTGAAATTTTAAAACACTACAGTCAATGGTATTAAATCCAAAATTAGACAGGAAGTCAATACAGATAGAACTGAGTCAGGTCAGATCAAGGAGGTCAATTTGAGTGAGTACTGGAAGTTGGGGACTGCTCCCTGAGGGACTGAAATGTTAATTCCTTTAGAGCCCTTCCTCCACCCTGATCAAGAACCTTAGCACAATCCTTAGCACAACATAAATAAACAAACAAATAAATAAATAAAGGTATTATATCATGTACAACTAAAAAAAAAAAAGAAAAAAGAAAGAAAAAGCAATCATGAAATTCATTTGGAAAAATAAAAAACCCAGAATAGCCAAAGCAATCCTTAGCAAGAAGAGTAAAGCAGAAGACATCACAATACCAGACCTGCAAGACATTGCTTTTAAGGCATTCTACTCTGCTCCAATCTATTGCTGAGGAACTGTCCCAGGTACCTACAGGGAGCTATAAAGTTGTTAATTAATGTGTCCCAGGGCCGCTCCATTCTGCCCTTCCCCTTTCAGCCCACCTGTTTCCCACCTTTTGGCCATCCCACTGAACATATCCTGGGCTAGTCACAGGTATGCAGGAAGGAAATAGGTAAGGGGAAGAAAGACATAAAGAGGTAGAACACATTGCTTCTTGGTATACCAGGATACCAGCTATGGCCTCCTCCTCCCTCCAGGGAGAAGTCTATATTACCCCTTTTAAAGTAAATCTTGCTTTATATGCTTGCCTCAGTATGATTCTCTACTGTTCAAACTTCAACATGTGAGGGAGCAGAACTCGTCACTGATAACGGGCAGTATCAGTATTATACCATAGAGATATTATTTCTGTTCCACATGTGAAATTCATTTAACCTTCTAAATTGGAAGACTCTAAGAGACTTTTATTCATCTCATGTATCTTTCACCTAGGGGTCTCAAACTATATAGCCCAGACTTTTAATACCTATAGCTTTAACAGAAAGAACAGGGCTCTGTCAGTAAATTTCCATATAATCTGTGTCTAATCACTAAACTACCTGCTTAATTAAAGGCAGAAATAGTTAAAGAAACCACTTTAAATACTTAGTTATATTCAAACTTCAGAATGCACGATGATTTTCAAAAGGATGGTGGAAGACAGGTCATTCATACAGAAAAATATAGATAAAATGGCTTCTTTATACAATGGAAAGTCTCTAAAACCAGGAAGTTACAAATCTATCTCCTCCTTTTCATATCATTGGCAAAGGTACCCAAATACTCAAAACTGTACTTTGTGTGTGTGTGTGTGTGTGTGTAGCTAAGGATTAGACCCAGGACTTTATATATGCTATACAAGTGTAGAAGCAGCCAATAACAGTTTTCAAAAGAGAAGTGCCAAGAATTATAGCCTATGAAAAAAATAATTGTTCTCTTAAAGAATTTTAGAGAGAACTGATACTGAATATCTAATACACATACTACTATTTGCTATAGATCATAACTTTTTATTCAAATCCACTTAAAAAATCAGAAAGAGATATATTTGGAGGTTTTTTCAGACTAGGCCACAAAATATTTACAGGTCAAAGTAGTGAACACACCTTGTGTAACTCATCATAAACAAGCTGGTGGGCAAATCTTGGACATGGTTCTTCTTCCTGCAGACTTTTACTTGGATTGTCTTTTGCAGCTTGATCATTCTTATAGACGCAAGACCTACAAGACATTGCTTTTAAGGCATTCTACTCTGGAAAATTTGCAGCAATGTTAATACAAATATAGCAAGCAAATTAATTGCCAATTACCAACAAAAAATCAAATTATATATTTGTTCTCATCAAAGCTTAAAGTTCTGATAACTCTCATAAAACAATATGCATTTGTTAGAACTGAGTTCTGAAATTCTTTTAATGGCCATCAAATAGCTCACTCTAAAACAACCTATCTCATGCTGTGAAACACAAACAGTACATATAAAGGCTCAAACTGAAAGTTGAAAGGGAGGCAATCCTGTTTATTATTCACAATAAAAAGACTCACAGTACACTGCTTTCATTCTGATTATAAATAAACATCCTATTTAGAAAACAATAAATCTCTTAGTTTCTGAGTACTACTATCCATTACCAAATGGAGGAAGTTCTTTGAAGTGTTTCTGTCCTGTAGAATATTCATTTCTGGTGCCACCACAGAATGTGACAGCTGGATCTTCTGGGTCAATATTTCCCAAACAAACTGTGCAGAACCAGTTTTGTGAGATGCTCTGTGACAAAGGGTCCTCTCTGGAAATGCTAAGTAATAATGTCCTCAATTTACT